TGTGAGCTGGGACTTTACATATGGGGGCTTTAGGGTATGGAATCAGGGAGGGGGAAGCAGGATGTGCATCAGCAGCCCATCCCTCAAGTAGGTCTCCCTCCGCGCCGTCATCCGCCGGCCGTGGTGGCGCACACCGGTATGACCTCAAAGGTCAAGGTGCTTATCAGCTAAGTTCCCTTTTCCAGGCTCCAAAGTCTGTAGGTCCCTGTTGGGGAGGGGGGCTGCTATTGGAACCCTAACAATATGTAGGCTAAATAAACCCTTTCCTCCCCAAGTTGATACTGGTCTGAGTGTTTTATCACAGCAATGGAGAAACAAACTAGGACAAATACCATGTGAGGGAAGAGGCGTTCTACAACTCATCTTCCTCAGAATTTTAAGAGTGAAAGGGGAAGCATCAGATCTGCTCCTCCTTTAGATTAAGATGCCCCTGAGAGGGAGAAAGTTGGGCTTTGTTGAGTCCCATTAATGGAAGGCTGTCTTCTGGTAAAGCAGTGCTGTCTTTATATTTTAATTCCTTATTATTTATTTATTTTTGGTCTTTTTGAGACAGGGTCTCCCTGTAACCCCAGCTATCCTGGTACTCACTATGTAGACCAGGCTGGCCTTGAACTCACAGAGATCCGCCTGCCTCTGCCTCCGGAGTGCTGGGATTAAAGGAGTGCGCCACCACGCCCGGCCTCCTTATTTATATGTTATGTGCATGAGTGTTTCTGTCTGCATGTCAGTGTATCATGTGAGATCAGAACAGGGTTCTGGATCCCTAGGAAGTGGGGCTACTGACATGTATCGGGTGCTATGTGGGTCCTGGGAACCAAACTCAGATCCTCTGGAAGAGCAGTCGGTGCTTTTAGCCATGGCACCATCTCTGCAGCCCCTAATGAACTCTTTTTAATCCACCCCGGTACATGACTTTCTCTTGTGCATGTGTGAACATGGGTGTGGAGGCTTGAGGACAACTTTGGTGGTTGTTCCTTAGGAGTCGTTCACGTTTTTTGAAATGGTCCCTCACTGGCATAGAATCACCAATTAGGCTAGAGTGAGACTGTTTCTATCACCCCAGGGCTGGGATTCAAGTGTGTCCCCACATCAGCCTTTTTAATTTTCGTTCTGGATACCGAACTCAGGTCCTCAACATCGCAAGTACTTAATGACTGAACTATCGCCCCCTTCCTGTGGCCAAATGAATGGGATCCGAGTTCTGTCTCTGGGTAGACATGGCAATCTAAATGGCTTAAAAGATTAGACGTATGTGGTTCCTTCAAGTTCATCTAAACGAGCCTCTTGCCTGAACAGGGAAACACCGCTCAGGGAAGCTGTCTGTTAGAGATGTTAGAAAACAGCAATGGCCTACCTAAACATCCAGGTTGGCATACCAGTTCCCTTGTCATTGTAATTTCTCTCACTTTTTGTTGTCATTTTGAGAAAGTCTCACTCTATACAGTCAGCACTGGCTGGTCTGAAACTCACTTTAGACCAGGCTGGCCTTGAACTGAGATCCTCCTGCTTGCTTCCCCAGTGGTGAGATTAGAGACGTACTCCCACACCCATCTGTCCATATTTACTCTCACTTTCAAAGAATGCTTTTCTTTGCAACAGTGCCTTTGGCCGTTGCTCACTCATCTTTCATAACACTAACAAACACCATCTTCTACACAGTATGTCTCATCTGTATTCTTGTCACAGAGGACACTAGATCCCAGGGACAGTATTACTAGGGAACTGGAGTTCCCTTTTGTGTACTTGGTCTTGTTGATAAAATAATTTTAAAAGGATTGGAAGCTTGAGGATCATTTTATGAGTTTAAGAGAAGAACAGGGCAGGCGAGCTGCAAACCTCAGCAGTTGCTAGAGGTAGAGGGGTAAGAGGAAGAGACTCATGCCTTTTGGGCTACAGTCCAGGAAGCAGGGGCTCAGCAGTGCCGTTAGTTTGCAATGGGGGTGGGAGGGTCGAGATATCTTTAGAGAAGAGTGAGAAATGTCTAGACAGCCAGAATGAGTGTGCTTATCTGAAGAAGAGAGACAGAAAGGGAAGTTCTGAGTTAGAACCCAGAACAGCTGGTGGCTTAGCAGAGATCTTAAGTACTGTATTGAGGGACGGGCTGAGGTTGTAACTATTCTAACCCGTTAATGGAATAGTTATTCCTCCCATCTCTTTAGAGATGGCTCAGAGGTTAAGAGCACTGGCTGCTCTTGCAGAGGACCTGGGTTCGATTCCCAGCACCCACATGGCGGCTACGAACCATCCTTAACTCCAGTTCCAGGGGAATCCTATGCCCTCTTCTGACCTCCACAGCATTGCACAACACGGGTACACTCATACATGCAGGCAACACTTTCATACACATAAAATAAAAAAAGTAAATAAAATATATTAATGTTTACACATCTATCATACACATCTATCACCTTACCTGAAGGGTAGTCACCAGGCCAAAGGATTGACAGGTTCACTTGGATTAACTCTTAAGGGAGAGGAAAATAGTCTGTAACGTCATAATCACTGTCAGATCAGAATGCCAAGCTTCTATCCAGGCCCAGAGGTAGAACTCAGATCTCATTCTTCTGGGTAGGAGGAAGTAGCTTTCCCTCAGTGACCTCATCAAAGCCACCTTTCAAAGGTACCTCCACCCTTTTTCCTTCCATATAACATTTTAAATCTTAAGAAAGGTATAATGGAAGGTGGAGTCCAAGGTGGATTACAGAGGGAAGGTCCATCCTCTAGCCTCCAAGACTGCTAATGCCTACATAGCTACTTTGGCAAGTGCCAAAATCAAGTGGAAAAAAACCAAAACCAGACAACTGTTAGATGTGCTTGTCACATTGTAAGAGCAGAAAAGAAAAGGTCTAAGCTGAATTTTTATACAAGTCTTTATTTACAACTTGTTTAACAACTGTACAGTTTTTGCAGCCTTGAAAACTTTTTGTATTTGAATGGGAAAATATAGTTTGACCAAATCTTAACTTTTTTTCATATACATACATTATATGCATATATAACACCATATATAATTAATGTAACAAGTTGGCAATCATAAAATTAAAATACCACCAAAAAGAAATACAGGATTTCAGGAATAAAACAACAACAAATAAAAACCGTTTCTGATGGTTTCTAGGAACTTTGTTTTTGTGACTTTGATCTCT